TAAAAAAAAAAAAAAAAAAAAAAAAAAAGAAGACATGAGCAAAGGATTCTCAGTTTTAAAAATATCCATTAGAGAACCGGGGATTTCACTCAGGGGTTCCGCCACCTGCCTTGAAACACCTACCCGAGTTCTATCCCTGACCAAAAAAATAAAAATAAAATAAAATAAAAATACACATTAGAAAATATGCTGAAGTCTGATGACAGCAAGTACTAACAAGGAATGTAAGAGAAAATGTACACACCAATCTTGAGATATACAGATAAAATCTTACTGGGGAAAAACTACTAATAAATTTTAAATGAACATACTTTTCAATAATACTATTACTGATAGTTTATACATGTACTGCAAAAATTAAGGTATACATAGAAAAACAAAAAAACATTGAGTAGTGAAACACATTCTCTAACACAATGAGGACACGCTGAGCAAAAGCCAGACTCTGGAAAAAAACTACAAAGATAAAAGGGACCTAAATATTAAGATACATAAGGCCAGGTGTGGTGGTGCACACCTGTCTCACAGCACGTGGGAGGTTGAGGTATTAAGATTATGCCAAGTTCGAGGCCAGTGTGGGTTACACAGTGTTCAAGTCCAGCCTGAACTACACAGCAGAGCGGAAAGGGGGAAAGAAACATAATAAAATAAGGAAGGAAAAAACAGGGGAAGTGGGAGGGAGAGACTGACTGACTTATGAGACATACCAACATGGGTCTTACTTGAATTTTGAGGAAGGCAAAGTATTAAGAACAAAATTAAGAGCTTCCAAGAACATGGTTAAGCGATCAAAGCAGGAACAAATCAACCTCTCCAAGATTGGGAAAACAGACACTGGAAAATAACAAGTTGGGGAAGAAAAGGAGGAGGGAAGTGCATTTATGGGACCCAGGAAGAATCTGAAGGAAAAATTGGAGCCCACAGAGAAAGTACAGAGACAAATCTCAACACAAAAAAAGGAGGAGGCAATCTGCACTTTCTTCCTGGCTCCTGGCTTGTGGCAGGGGAGAGGAGGATCAAATCTATAAAGACACAGTGAAGGTGGCTGACTCCAAAGGCCTCCAGGGAGAACCCCCGCCAGTGGAACACAGAAGTGAATGAATGCTGTGCACTACAACAGCTGGTGAGTGACTCCAGTCCAAGTGACTACTGTGTCCCCTGGACAAGGTGCTTGGCTGGATTTTGTGGAGAGGCCAGCTAAACCTGGGACTCAGAGCAGCTGTGGGTTGGCTTCATCTCAGGGCTCCTAGTGTTGAAATCCCAGAGCGACTCGGTCAGGAACAATTGCAGGAGACACCCAGGGTCAGAGAGCTGTGGTCAGGCCAGCAAGAGATACCCACAGTGTTATAAGCTAACTAACTCAGGCTACAACTCCACAACTGGTGACCATGATCAGCCTGAACTGTGGATTTCAAAGTAGCAGAATCAGCGCCCTACCCTAATCCTACTGCAGTCTTGCTGAGACTATCTAGCACAGATCTGGGCTGTGACTACCTCCTTTGGCTAGCAGTGACAGCAGAGGCACACCCTCAATTAGACAAAAATGTAGACCCCAGAATAAAACCATAGGCTTGAAATCAGAGATTTCTTTTCTTGTTGTTGTTCGTTTTTTTTACTGTTTTTCATGAGTGTGAATAGTGTTTTTCTTTTGCTCTCCTTAGTATTTTTTCCTTCTTTCTTTCCCTCCTGCCTTAGTCACGAATTTCCCAATACTTGGGTAGTATCCTCCATCCTTGCTTCTAATCTTTTCTCTTTTTTATTTTTATTTTTTCTCTTATTCCTTTTAAAATTTCTCCCCTTAGGATTTAATAGCTCTATTGAGAAGACACTTACTGTATATAATTTCCACTTAGTCTTAGATTTTGTTATATAACTATAAAATCTTATACCTATGGTCAAAGGTGGCAAATTATTAGTTAGCACAGTTTGTCACTTTCTACTGTGTTAGGTGCTACTGGTATTACCGACTGTACTACATGAGCCAAGGTGACATAGCTGTGATCAATTGATCTTTCCTGGGTATCAATACCTAGATTGTCTGGGTGTCATCAACAACACTATATTCCAGTACCAAACAAATGGGTGCTAGGCCAAACAGGCAGCAACCCTTCATCTCTAATAAACTGAAAACACAGGATGCTGGGACAGACTCAAAAACCACACACCGGCTTGGCCAAGAAGACATCTCTGCAAAGTATTCTTTTTCTAAAGAGGTCTCAAAATAGTAATAAAGCTACCTACCATAAGCAATTTACAAGCCTCAACACAGAAAACAAATTTTAAAAAAATGAGAAAACACAGAATCAACATGCAACTCATAATCCCCAACTCACCCAAGGCAAATCAAACAGGAATTGATGTAGAAAAAAATCAAAGAAAAGACATAAGACAAAAAAGCGAATAAATAAAAAATTGAAACAAAGCTTTTGTAAATAAGGAGAAGAAAAGGACTCAAATAGAGGGGAGGGGAATGGAAAAAAAAAGAAGCAAAATATATCACATACAAGCATAAATCCCCTAAGATGAATATTACCTACGTATATCTAAAATGTATCTAAATATTTTGCTTAAGAAAAAAACCTCCCAGCTGAATTTTATAAAATGGTGGCAGCAGAAGTAACAGAGCAGATTAGTAAGTCCCACAACCAAAACAGCTAAGTAGAGAAATGATGATCACAACGAAGGAAGTGATTAGTAAATCTAGAGTAGAGAGTAATAAATAAATAGACGAGCTAAAAATTCAACAAAAGAACAGACTACTGAAAGCTGTTAAAATGAATTTTCTATTAAGAAAACCCTATCAGAATCACAGCAGACTTCTCCAAACAAAGTCAAGGAGAGCTTGGAGTAATATCTCAAGCTCTAAAACAATCCAAAACCCACACGGATGTACCCCGCAAAATTATCTTTCAAAATTGATAGAGAAATAAGATACTTCCATGATGAATACCTGAGGACAGTCACGACCACCAAACCAGCACTCCAGAAAGGAGATTTTAGAAAAAACAATGAAGATAACTCCAAGAATCCCAACAGGATTCATTCGACCAGGCAAGGAAAGCAATTAAACAGAAAGTAAAGAAAGGGAGCCAACAATAGGAAGAAAAAAAAAGTGACAATAAGTCCAAAAGTATCAGTTGTAACCATTAATGTAAATGGTCTGAATTCACCAATAACTGGATCAACAAATAAGACTCAACAATATGCTGCACATAAGAAACACATTTAACTCAAAACGAAATTCACAGACTGAAAGTCATAAAATGAAAAACAGTACACCATGTGACAAAGAACCTGGAAAAAACAAAAACAGGGGTTGCCGGTCTATTTACAGACAAAGTGGATTTCAAGCCAAGACTGATCAGAAAACACAATGATCTGAACAGACTGATCACAAAGACTGATCAGAAAATACAATATACTTACTAAAGCAACAATCCCAGAGGAAGAGACAATAATCATAAATATAAATGTACCAAACACTAGCACACCCAACTATATAAAACAAACACTAATGCATATAAAAAATCAGTTAAGCACTAATACAGGAGTCATGGGGGACCCTCAATATCCCACTGTCACAAACAGATCCACCAGACCAAAAAAAAAAACAACAACAACAACAAAGAAATATCAGAGCTGAACCAAACTTCTGAACAAATATATTTAGTAGATGTATTCCACCAACAACATCAAAATACACATTCTTATCAGAAGCACACAAGACTTTTTACAAAACAGACACACAGCACGCTTAAGTAAATCCAAATGAGGCCCAGGGATTTAGCTCAGTGATTCTGCTGCCTGCACTTCCAAGTGCAAGGACCCGAGTTCGATCCCCGGTACCAAAAGAAAAAGTAAATCCAAATGAAATAATCCCATGCATACTTTCAGTCAATGAAATGGGAAATCAATGGCAAAAAGAAACCACGAAAACAACACAGACATATGTGGAAATTACTATCTTCCTGAACAACAAATGAATCACAAATGAAATTCAAGAAATTAGTTTCTATAATTAAAAAGTAATGCCATATGACATACCAGAATAGATGCAACACAGAGCAAGCAGTCTTAAAAGGGAAATTTATAGCTGAGAATTACCACATCAGAAAAATGGAGACCAAATAAATGAACTAATGCTGAATCTCAAGCTTCTAGAAAAAGAACAAGTTAAACCCTACACGTGTATTAAAGAGGAAATTATAAAGATTAGAGCAGAAATTAATAAAATTGAGACTAACAATACAGTGAACTGGAGTGGTTCTTTGAAATATGAAATAAAATTCACAAACCCTTAGTCAAACTTATAAAAAAAAATAAGGAAAAACAAAACTCAAATCCATGCAGAATGAAAGGGGCGAAATTACAACAGATCTTGCAGAAATCCAAAAGATCATTAATACCTACTTTGACAATCTGTACTCTAATAAGATGAAAAACTAAGAAATGGATAGATTCCTAGATACATGAGTTACCAAGCTGAATCAAAACGATAAAAAATTCTAAATAACCCAGTATCAGTCAGTGAAATCAAAGAGGTAATTAAAAACCTACCAACAAAGAAAAGCCTAGTTCCTGATGGATTTACAGCTGAATTCTACAAGAACTTTACAGAAGATCTAATGCCCATATTCTTCAAACTCTTTAATGAAAGTGAAAAGGAAGCAGTATTCCCAAACTCATTCCTAGAAGAAAGCATCACCTTGACAGCAAAATCAAAGGACCCAATGAAAACAGAAAACTACAAGCCAATCTCCTTAGGGAACAAAGATGGAAAAATCCTCAATAAGATACTAGCAATCAGAATACAGCAAATCATCAAGATGACCAAGTAGGATTCATACCAGGGGTGCAGGGATGGCTCAACATATGCAAATCAATAAATGTAATACACCACATTAACAGAACTAAGGCCAAAAATCACATGATCATCTCAAAGGAATGGAGAAAAAGCATCTGACAAAGTCCAATACCCATTCATGATTTTAAAAAAAATACAGAAAATTGGAATAGAAGGTCCTTACCTCATTCCCATAAAAGCCATCTATGACAAACCAATGCCCAACATAATACTAACTGGTCAAGAACTGGAAGCTTTCACTCTAAAATGAGGAATAAGACAAATATTCCCATTATCATAACCACTCCTGTTCAATTTGCTTCTGGAAACATTAGGAGAGCAATGAGACAAGAGAAAGAAATAAGTAGCTCAGTGGCACCATGCCTGCCAAGCAAGCACAAGGACCTGAGTTCAGTCATTGGTATATAAAAAGAAGAGGAATATGGATAGGAAAGAAAGAAGTTAAATTATTATTTGCTGATAACATGATACTCTACACAGAAGACCCCAAAAACTCCACCAACAGACTCCTACAATTAATCAAATTCAGAGGTGTAGCAGGATACAAAGTTAACACTCTAAAATCAATAGTGTTCCTGGTACAATAATGAACTCAATGAGAGAAATTAAGGAAACAATACCTTTCACAATAGCAGCAAGAAAAAGGAAATACTTAGTAAACAATGTTATAAAGGAAGTAAAAGACCTGAAAACTACAGTACTCTCAAAAAGGAGATTAAAGAGGATAAAAAAACATGGAAATATACCTCATTTTTTGGATAGGCAGAACCAACACAGTGAAAATGGCCATACTTTCAAAACGATTAAACAGACTGAAAGCAATACTAATCAAAATACCAACAGCGTACCTCACAGAACTAGAGAAAATAATCCAAAAATTCATATGGAACGAGAAGAGGCCTAGGATAGCAAAATCAACTCTGGGCAACAAGGGCAAGGCAGAGATCATCATAATACTGAAATACCACAAAGATACCATGATAATAACAGCATGGTACTGGCAAAAACAAAACAAGAACAACAACAAATCCAGACCAGAGGCTCAGTAGAACAGCACAGAAGACGCAGAAACAACTCCAAGGACAATCAGCTACCCTATCTTTGTTTGACAAAGGGGCCAAACACCTTCGCTTGAAGAAAGCCACTTTAATAAGCAAAGCTGGGAAAACTGGCCAAAAATTGAACCTAAAGCCATGCCTCCCACTATGTGGATCAAAGATCTAAAAATAAAAACAGAAACATTTAGTATTTTGGAAGATAGAATAGGTATAACTTTAGAAGACATAAGTGTGGACCAAAACTTTATGAACAAAACCCTTATCGCAAGGGAAGTAACAACTGGAATCACTAAATAAGCAAACTAAAAAGCTTTTGCATAGCAAAGGAAACCAACAGAGTGAAGAGACAACCCACAGAATGGGAAATTTTTTACCACCTATTCCTCAAAGGACTAACATCTAGAATATATAAAGAACTCAAAAATCAAACACCCCCAAATTTAAAGAACCAATCCCAAGTGGGCATCTGAAATGAATAGACATTTCTCAGATGAATTACTACAAATGGCAAATAATTATATGAAAAAAAGCCCAACATCACTGGTCATTCAAGAAATCCATATTAAAGTAACAGCAAGATTCTATCTCACTCCAGAAAGAATGGCTATCATCAAGAATTCAACCAACAACAAATGTTGGCAAGGCTGTGGGGGAAAAGGAACCCTTCTCCATTGCTGGTGGGAATATAAACTGGTACAACCCCTATGGAAATCAGTATGGAGATTCCTCAAGAAAAACTAGAGGTTCCATTTGACCCTGCTATTCTACTTCTAGGTATTCTTCCCCTAAAAGCATCACACCACAGTGATATCTGCAGACATATGTTTATAACAGCATTATTTATTATAGTTAAATCTTGGAAACAGACCACATACCCATCAAAGATGAATGGATAAAGAAAATGGGCTGTTTACACATAATGGAGTACTATTCTGCCAAAAAGAATAAATCAGTCATTTGTAAGAATATGGATGCACTTCGATACCATAATCTTAAGTGAAATACATCAATACACACAACTTTAAATATCTCATTCTTGTGTGAGAAACCCAAAGGGTAAATAAAAAACATAATGGAGGATCGATACTGGGAAGAAGGAAGAAATTAAAAAGAAAAGGGGAATAAGGCAAAGGAGAAAAGGGAAAAAGGAAAAAAAGAATGGAATTTTTTAAAAAGAAAAAAAAAGCTTTTGTAAATAGGGAGGGGAAGAAGAGTTGAAGGAAGGGGAATGAGAGGTGAGAAGATATATTATGTATAGGAACAAATTCCCTATGAAGAATGTAATCAAGATGTATGGCAAATATGCACTTATAAAAAATCAAGTTAAAAATAATTTTAAAATACAAAATTAAATAGGGAAATCTGAGTAGTTATTTGATATGAAACGATTTTTTTATTAGGAACAATCATCCTATTGCATTAATGCTTTTTCCAAAGATTTAGTTTGAAATATTTAGGAAAAAATGATATTGGATCTGGGATTGTCTCCAAATAGTTGCAGCCATGGCACTGTGGGGATGGAGACAGGATGAATGGAAAAGACAGGGGCACATATGACATGAGACTGGAAATGGCTGATGAGGGGATTCATTTTACCTCAGCCTTAGTGGCCTGAAACTTTCCTACTGAAGGTTTTAAAAAAGAGACACTACAAGGATTTCACAGCAGCATTATTTTCTAAAAGCAAAACAACAAGAAAGAGATGTATCTATATTATGGAATTCATTCATCAAATGAGATATATTATGTGTTGACATTAAAAACAACTCCCTGTAAAACATACTATGGAGTAAAATATAGTATATATAGTATATAAAATTGAACCAAGAAAACCCCAATATACACAGATGTACTTTTCTCTATAAAAAATAAAATAATTCTCTAAAGTAGTTGCCTTTGGGGAAAGGAAATGGGATGTAAGAGGATGGAGCCGTCGCTCTGCATTCTGTAACCTGTAAATGATATGAACTTTGTACTTTTATAAGAATTATTTTTCTTTTTCCCATCATTCTGCCTGATTTTCCATTTTAAAGTTGTTGCTGGAATAAGGAGGAAGATTATGAACCAAAGATCTTAAGAGTTTAATGAAAGGTTTTAAGAAATGATTACATAAACTTATATAAATGAAATCATTAAATCCTACATGAAAAGAAATTATGAAAAGTTCTAGAATCTTAGTGATTACAAAACAAAAAGGCTAACTATCCTGTATTTTCATTAGCACATCCTCTGAAACTGCAGTATGTAGTATTCAGATTATGTTAAAATTTACCAAAAAAAACTAAACAAAAATTATGTAACATAGAAATCAAACTTTTAAGAGAGTTACACTTAAACTTCAGATAGGATAAAGCTTTTAAAAAAATCTCTTAAATAAATGTAGAAAAGGAAAAGTATCCAGTATTTACCATAACATACATACAATTAAAATACATCATCTTTACATGGGAATTTGTTTTCACAGTCTTACTCCAAATATAACTACTTAAGAAAAACTCAAAATTTCATTTCCTCTTAAAATTCATGAATGAAACAAACTCACTGGGCTACTTCTCAAGCTATCCATAGGATTTAACTTAGTAGATATATTCAAATAAAGAAAACTTACCTATTCATGGCAGGATCATTCATGAAAGCTCTGTAACCCTGCAAGTAAAACTTGCACAGTGTCAGGACACCCAAGGCAACAAAAGAAACCGTGAAAACCAAACCCAAAAGAGAGTAAGGAGTGCTGCAGCATTCAGCAATACTGAAAAAAAGTGAGGGAAATTAATATTAACAGAATAAATCTTCTATTTCGAATAAAAGCATTTAAAGCCTCTAAATACCCAAGCGTGATTACATCCTCATCAAATCATCTCAAACCAGAATCTCAGGTGAAAGCAACCAATCAGTTTAAACATAATTTAAATTATGTTATTCAAAAGTATATTTTATCTAACTTTAGGAGACAGCCTGTACATATAGTACCATATTATAATTGTAATTATCCACCATCTCCAAATACAGTACAAATCAGCTTTAAACCTTAAAAACATAATTAACATGCTGGTAAGTATTCAAAAGAATCTTGTACTCTTATCCATTGCTTTTTCTGAGAAATGATGGACACTGGAATTGTTCAGACTGTACTGAAAATATAGTTGTTAAAATTCATTATATCACCAAACTATATGGAGCAACCCTTCTGTGGACATTCTAACTACAAAAGTATCAAACGGTACTAGTATTTAAATTTTTTTTTTTTTTTTTTTTTTTTTTGATACAGGGAATCAAACTCAGGACCTTGAGATTACCAGGCAGGCAAGTAACTCCCCGCCCTGAATTTCAAATTTTAATTTAGGTTTAGATAAGTAATTTTTTAAAGGGTTACTTTACAAACAGGTCCGAAACCATTTTAAAATTTTAATATCAAATTTTACAAAAAAAAAAAAAATGTTACCAAAAATTTTGCTGCCATACCATTTATAAAGGTAAAATGCCCCCCCCCCCCCGAGCTTTGAAATATTTTCATTGATTTTTTTTTTTTTTTGGTACCAGGGGATTGAACTCGGGTCCTTGCGTTTGCAAGGCAGGCCACCAAACCGCTGAGCTAAATCCCCGGCTCATTGAACATTTTAAAAATTAACATGTGGGAATAAGTAAGTTAGAACTATTACATACTAATGAGTTGGATTTTGCATTTATATTTTAACTTAGAATTTTATTTATTTATATACATGAGGAATTCATTCAAGCAAATCAATGTCTGTCACTTAGTATATAGCAAGCAAACTAATGCTTGAAATTTACAAGCTCATGCTTCTGCTGTATAATCACCTTTCCCTTTACAACTGTTTATAAGCTGATTTCTATGTGAAAACATCTAATTTTATGCAGACCTATGTTGTATATTAATGATGAGGAGAAAAGACTTTTTTCCTTTAAGGCGCCAGAATGACCAAAACTCATGGTAATGGACAGCTAAAGGAATAATTAATTTTATGACATTCTTACAAATCTCAATTTCTAAAACGCTTGACATTTTTCTGACAGCAATCATTAAATATTACTTAAATAAGTGTTAAAAATGAGAATCATGACTGAAAATACTAAGATTTTATTTCCTTCTCAGTGAAAGAAAGTCTAAAAATCTCACTGAGGATTCACTCTCATTTTTTTTTTGTACCAGGGATTGAACTCAGTACCTTGCACTTGCAAGGCAGGTGGCAGAAGCACTGAGCTAAATCCCCAGCCCTGGTTCACTCTATTTCTATACCTGTCTCCACACTTAAGAGAAATCATTTACACTCAAAGGGTATGATTTAATTACACATTCAAGAGGATTACGATCATTTTTCTCTCACCTCAGAAAATATTTTGGTACAAAGAGAGCATACTAACGAATTTAGAAGGTTTCAACCTTGCTTTAGGGAAGTGGAAAGACCTGGGAAAATTTGTTAAAATTTTTCTTCCCCATTCTCTTCAAAAAGTGACATATTTATTGATTTTAGTTTCTATTTTCTGTCTGTTAAAAAAACATCATTTTGTTTTTCAGTTGTCTGCATATACATGTTTTTTGTTTAGTCAGGGTATTCTGATAAACATCCAACCCTCAGTTTGTAAATAAGTTGTTTTTGGTAAGGAAACATAAAAATACAACCTGGCACGCAAAAGCATCAAGACAGACAGACATCAAACTCTTACAGAAACACAAATTAACAAAAGAACCAATATGGTAAATTTCTCAATTAAAAGCCAAATCAAAACATTTCCATCTTGAGAAAAGGTAATTGATCGATCTTAGCTATGTTCAGAAATAGAAGAGAAAATTTACTATAGTAAGATATCTAAAATCTATTACAGGGGCCGGGGATTTAGCTCAGCGGTTCGGTGGCCTGCCTTGCAAGCACAAGGACCCGAGTTTGATCCCCAGTACCAAAAAAAAAAAAATCTATTATCTTTCTTACTTTGCAAATAAGTTCAAATTCTAAGTTCAGTGACTTGTTGAACCTATTAAACTATGTTACATCTTAATCTGCCCATTACAGTGAGAAACAATCTGATTTAAAGCATAATCACTTGCAGTTCCACACTGCAGCTATTAACCACAGAATTTTCTCTCTTTAAATTCAGTAACTTTGTGGATCATTTAAAATTTCTGCATAAAGTTCCATATTTAATAGAAACATACTACCTATTTAATAATGAATTCATCATTCAAATGTGTCTGACAGATATCAACTAATTGCATTATTATATAAGCTAACTTACATGAAAAAGATAACTTATTTTCATAAAACACAAACTCTGACTTCTTAAAAAAAGGACTGGCAGCATTTTATTGATTAATTTAGATATTTATTGACTTAGATTCAATGATGTTTTCAATCTTAACAAATAACATGCTAATTTAGGACTTGTCTTAAATTTCTTATTCTCTATACCACTAGGTACACAGTCTCCCATAGGACCAGATGGCTGAAAAGAAATGGCTCTATTAGCTAAAACTCAAAACTTTTATCTGGTTTTTATTTGTTTCCAGGAAGACAGGTTTTCATTCTTATCTTCTGAAGTGACAATGAACCAGGGAACCAAGATGTTCTGTATACCAATGTGCTAGACTGAGGGCCTGTGGTTCAAGGTTAAGCCTGAAAAAAGGAATGTGGATCTAGCAAAAGTTCATGCTAAAGATACTGGGATAAGAAATCGACTCAAATGACAAAAAAGACATAAAACCTAAAGTAAATCTTAAAAACCGAGTCCTAGGACTTTTAGGGGTAAAACACTAAAGTATTATGATATATCCATTTCACCAACTGTTTGTATCTTAGTACTGAAGCAAAACTTTAAATGAGGACAGTTAAAATATCCAGAAAAGTCTCAGTCTTAACTTAGATGGGGCCTGAGTGCCAGCTCAGCTTTTAAGAGTCATCCAGACAAGTTACTCTTGGTAATTTCCTCAGATATAAAATAATAATAACGACAATGAAAGTACTTATCTTTCAGGATTGCTGGATTAAATGTGAGGCAAAGTGTTTAGATGTGACACACAACAAATACTCAATAAGTAATGGTTATTTTTTATCTTTTTTGATCTGGTAATTAAAAATTGAAAAAATACTTTCATTATTTATGTACTTTTCCACCAATTATGTTCTGTACTTTGGTTCCCACTGCATCCAAATATACCAACATGTTTCTATTATTATCTTCCTACACTGCCAGACTACACTGCCATACCCTACTGAATGAAAATCTTACCACAGTGGTACAATACGATATATAAAAGTAATCTTCAAAACTTAACTACACCTACATCATTCTCTCTTCCTATGGTCATAGATATACATATCACAGTCCCTAATTAATTACCTTGTGAGAAAAAGGAACAGAAGCCTCTCACGTGATGCTGGCTGATCTCGAGTGCTGAAATAGGAGTAAATCTGAAGAGCAAATAAGACGAGCCAGAAAACCATGAATAGAACAGGGACCACCAGTTGATTCCACAAGGACATTCCCAGGGCTAGAAGGCCATATACCTCCACTACCTGGATAAGAAAATAAGACAGGAAGACACCTTGTATCACCTTTGATGGACACTTTTAAATACTCAAAAGTGTTTAAAATACATACAATAAAAAAATAGCTTTTCTTTTTGTGAGCTCTTTTCAGCTAAATTTCTTTAAAGTTAGTTCAACACATAGTAAGTAACATGCTTTTAAACTGTAGTGATTTTTTGCATTATTAACATTCAATAAGGGCACTTCTACAGTGATAGCAAACTGCCCTAAAAGCTCAGGGATAAAGTCAAAATATGGTCCTGGTCATGACAAAACTACCTCAAAGACATTTTCAAGAGACTTGGTAAACACTCACGTCTTAATCAAAATAATCAAGATCAGCCTGAATGACACAATACTAACTGACCAAGAGAAAAGGATATGTAAAAGTACAAAATTTTCAGGGTTTTTTTTCAGGAATAAGTCATAAATAAATACTTCTGTCTGAACACTAAGAAACTGACTACTGCAAAGATAATTTGCCCCCCAGACAAATTAATTCCCCATGCTCCTGTGTATTCATCAAGCAATAGTTTTCAATTCATTTGGTTGGCCAAGCACACTAACTCAGGAAAAAGTGTGTATTAAAGAGGTAACAATCTATTCTAACTCAAATTTTTTCCAGTATATAAGACAATTTCTTATAAAAATGATTAGCAAGAATTAATTCCCAAAATCTCATTCAATCTAAGATCACAGATGTAATTACATTTTTAGAGTTACTAAGCCAGGTACCAGATCCTGGGAATCCAGGAGGATTCTGCCAGGCAGCCTTAAAGCCCTATCACAGCAGCCGTCCACAACTTGCTGAAATTTCTCAGTGTGATACTAGGATGTTTCAATAAACTGTAAAAGAGATTTCTAAGTACTAAATTCAAATACATTTACTTGCAGATTAGTCTATGTTTTAAATTTTTTCATCTGTAAAACAAATGCTTTTTCAGAAGCCTACTTATAATTTCGAACTTTGCCAACTAGAAAATATTTTTTAGCCAGGACTGGTGCTACATGCTTAAACAGAAACAAATTTAAGTAACTTTCTAACTAGCTACAATATATTATTATTATTACTAAAGGCAAACTGATTACTGATAGGTAGAAAGTAGGTTTATTATTTTCCACTCAAGGCACAGACCAGTTAAAAAGCCTGATGATTTCCATTTCTTGCTTATTCAACTCTTCCCAAGGAACAAATTTCACAACCTACAATTTATTTCCAACTACTATGACAAGTGATATATGAATCATATGGCAACCAAGGAAATATAAACATGACATTAAAATGGAGACTGTCTTGGTAACTACATATTTAATATTCAAGATTCATTGAATACTATAAATGAGGATAGCTCCACAAAACAAAATTCAACAAAAATGTTAAATGTTATTCTCACTCTGAAAATAACTACGTACAGCCCTTTTCCATGAGTGTCTCTACACTAATGGCATGGAAAGGATCTACTTCTGGGAAATTGCCCACGTTAATTATTAAGATGAAGAAAGGTGGTAGAATCTGGCTAAGGCCTAGAACTTAATTAAAGAATTTGTTCTGGATGATTTGTCCCAGGTCCACAAGTGAAGACTTCTCTCAGTAATACTGGTTTGGTCATTCTGAGAGATTCCTATACCATAAGTCACACACACACACACACACACACACACATACACACCCCTGAAGAGGCAGAAGACTGTGACCATATTAACATCCTCTTTTTACACTAACATCAGGATTAAGTATTTATCTTACACACTGAACTTTAACAGAGCAAACAGAAACATTTATCCCCCAAATGTCTATTGTATTTGGGAGTAATCTGTCTTAGAGCAAAGGCTGAAAATGGGAGGAAGACTACTGCAAAAAAGTAGTTCTGTTATTAGTTTAGGCTCTTTAAAGAAATCCATAATAATATAACCTATAACTATTTAGCTTTTCAGTTTAAATAAATTAGGTGAACAAAGGGAAGGAAAAGTCACAGGAGGACTACAGGCAGAACAATTAGAATTTGATCCTCAGGTATTTCTTTTTTTTTTTTTTTTTGTCATTATGACAATAGCTAACACACACTGAACATTATCTGCCTGGCACTGAACTCATTTAAATCTCAGAGCAATGCAATGAGGAAAAGTACTATGTTATTATTAGCTCCACTTCACAGAAATTGAAGATGTGATCATCCCAAGGTTATAGGGTAAACAGCAGCCTCAGGGTATGAATCCAAAAGTCTGCTCCGAGAGAGCAGGTTCCCTTTACTGTAATCTTCTCAACAGAACTTTGTAAGAAAGAAATCTCAGATGCTCTTAACTGAGCTAAAAACTGGGCTTCTCTTTTGAAAATTTAAGAAAGAATGTTACAAAACTAAGACAATGAAATTTAAAAAAAAAACTAAATACTTAATATTTATGTAGAATTTTATCTACCCGTGCATGGTTATCAGTCTTACCTGAACCAATTCTCTGTAAGCAGACTTAGCAAGGTTATAAGGTACTAAAAGATTAGACCCGAGAAAATAAAGAACTTCCAATCCAGTAAAAATCATAGCAAATTTGTTGATGATAACAATAGTTTCCAGAGGAACAAGGCAGAGTCGCGCTAGCAGAGGAAGCATATGAGCTGAAAACAGCCAAATCTGCTTGGTTTTCATGACACACGAGCATAAGGTACATACCACCAACTGACCTAAAATGAGGAAAAGAATTCATTTAATTTTGAGCATTTGGTAACACAAATAAAACAAAACAAAACAAAAAATACCACTGGATGATAAAACAGCCAATGAAGAGCTAAGATTTCCTAGGTGTTTTAAATCAAATTTTAATTTCACCTGACCATAGTGACATACTGTACTGTGAATTCTGAATAGTAATTCCCCACAGTCAATGTGGAAAACACAGCCTAAATCTCCACTGGTCTTCATCATATTTCTGTTGGCATATGTAACATGAAGAAACTTTTTTCTAAAATGTCTAACTGAATTTTACAGTAATTCAATTACTACACCTAATATATAGCTCCTTCCCCAACAGTACTCAACATTTAACTGTTCTGAATAACAGGCAGAAGCATAAAATCTAAGTGATGCAATTACTTGTCCAAAATCACAATACAACAAGATGAATTATCCTGAGGTATTTTTGGATCTTTATTTTTTATGAGACTACATAAGCTTCATAACTTAATTATCAAAGTTAAAACTGTGACGTTTAAACAAATTCTTCTCATAGAGAATTATACAAAATAACTACAGAAAATTGGAAATACAGAGAAGAAAAGAAAATCCCCAATCTTCTAAAATGCCACCACTCAACCACTGTGGCTATTATCAGTGTGGAGATTCCTCAAAAAACCAACCTAGAGAGGTTCCATTCAGCCCAGCTATTCCCCTTCTTAATATATTCCCAAAAGAATTAAAAGCATCACATCACACTGATATATACACCCTGTTTATAGTGGCACAGTTTGTAGCTGAATCTTAGAAATAGCGCCAAGTGTCCGTCAACTGATCAATGGATAAAGATGTGGTATGGAATACTACTCTGCCATAAAGTAGGATAAGCTTGAGACATTTCTAGTTAATAGATGCACCTTGAAACCACACTGTTAAGTGAGATAACACATGTTTAAATACCACATTGTTTTTCTGGTGTGAGAAACTGAAACTGGAAATAAGGATCAAAACATACAATAGATATTAGAAAATGGGAAGAAAATGTTCAAATGAGAAAGGGAACAAGGAATGGGTGGAGTGGAACAGGAAAGAAAAAACAAACAAAATAAAATAAAAGGAAAAAATGGAAATAAAGCTTTTCTAAAGGAGGGAAAGAAGGGCTGAAGAAAAGAGGGGGGAAATGGGAAAAAAAGAAGTAAGCTGTATCATGTATATATACAAATTCCATAAGATGAATGTTACCAATATGTGTATCTATAATGTACTGCTTTGCTTCAAAAATTTTCAAAAACAAAACAAAATGCCACCAAACAGCATTGTGCATACCATAGCCATCAAGTATTAAATATAAATCCTTAACACTCTATCTGAAACCTCTTAAGTGCTCAGTAGTTACTAGTCACACTACTTATTAGCTTTTCAAATTCAGTCTATGCATATGATTACATGGAAATGTTTACTTTGTACTCTAAAATCTTCAATATACTGTATTTGGGTTTATGTAGGAACTTTCTAGTGTTTTCTAATCATCTACTCTGATGATAAAACAACCTTGTTCCATTTCACTGACTACTGCTTTGTAAGAAATTTCTTGGGGATTCTTCCAGACCAAGAAACATATAGTTAGATGGTCTTTCTACCTGCCAGTGAAAAGCAAAAGAAAATTTGGGGATTTCTGATGGTGTTCTTATTCAGCTGTTAGAAAAATACAACACTGGCAACCATTTCAATATACTACACATTTAAAACGATATACTATACTACGAAATGTATGGTATTTTTCTCCCACAAAGCATCAACTTTCGACTTTAAAGGACTAGTAAACAATATGAACAATACTCATCAGTGTATAGGAAGAGAGAAACTCCTAACAGTAAAGAAAACAATAAAGAGGCCACCAAAAGAGACTGTTCAACACATTTTGGAAGGCAGAAAACAAGAGACAGGAGGCTCTCCCTGGAGGTTTTAGCCCTTACTCTTCACCATACTCTGAGAAGTCTGTCCTCCAAAGATGGAGAAACTGAGGCTCCTGGGCCCACAGGAGAAGTGAGGTGCCTAACTGAAAATAGGAGGAAGATGCATCTCAAAAGCCGGGCTCTCCCAGTTCCCAAGCACTGCTGTTATAAGCTTCTTACTTAGTTCTCAGCAGTTCCCTAGCCACTGCCACCAGTCTACCTTCAGATTTTTTTCTGAAGAAGCTGACCTGTCCAAGTCAAAAGATTTACAAAGACTAATGCTTTACAGCACCCTTCCAAAAAGCCAGTCTTAACTGATTAGCCACCATGGTTACCACACAGATTGGTAAAACCCTAAAGAGATTCCAATGACAAGTTAGTAACTCCCTTAAAATAAATGATTAATCAAAAACTCCTACACATTTAATAAAACTTATGATTTAATCATTCTCAGATATAGCCTAGGCATGAGTAATTACTTTTAAATATCTTTAGATGATTCTAAATTAAGCTTCAGAAACACTGCTCTCATGCAATTCAATACCAAAACAAAGAAACAGAAAAAGATCTGAAGGGTGAGAATGCAAAAAGCAAAACAAAGTTTTAAAAAGATAAACAGTATCTATGAAAATAAAGACGGCCATAAGAGGCATTCAATGAAAACAAGATTAAGATACAAAAAAAATGAAATTAAAACACAACAAAAGGGTTGAAAGATAAAAGTAGGAAAATCTCAGAGAGTAAAACAAAAATACACTCCCTGTTTAAAAAAAAATGACAGAAACAGCTCAAAATAAGAAAAATACAACATATCAACACTACGAAATTAGGGGCTCAATGTAGGAGATCGAAATTCAATTAACGCTATTTCTAGAAAAGGATGAAATAACAGGAGGGAAGAAATCATGAGCTGGAGGAAGAGACCTCTAGTGAACGATAACAGGAAGTGTGGATGGGTGATTTTTATCACAGAATTGCAGTAGTTTTTAATGACAAAAATAAGTCTACTTCTTTCATTAAAAAATTTAAATCAAAGGGATCAAAGGAAATGCCTTAGTACTAGGAATGACTAGAAATTTTAATTCTGGCACATCTTTCTTTCTTGTACTCAGAGATATACTTAAATTACCTCACATGCAATGTAAACTTCCCCAACTCTGAAATTCCCATCAGCCTATGTTAGCAAATGTAGTGCTTAGCTGTGACATCATCAGCTTCTTTATCTTCTTTCATAGAAGAACATGACTCACATGACATGTAGGTCTTCAGAGACCATTCATGTTGTTTAGGTGAAAGAAGGAAGGAGTCATATTGTTAGTGGGATCTTCCTTATCATTCCAAAAGAGTTGTTTTTTCCTGTGCCTGTTCCAACTAGATAATTCTGAGTAAATAAAAATCACAAAATACTCTGGATTTCAGAGTTCTACTATTAGAAATAGCTCCAAAAAATTCTGCAATCCTAAAAAATCATGGTATACTCAAATGCTTTTCCATTAAGTTTATTTTAAAGTGGAAGAAAGAGTGGAAGAACTTTAAATAAAAGTCAAAAGAAAAGTGTCTTTTAACAATTCATGAATATTATTTCTTATTAACTGAAACAGAGGAGTAAATAAGTGAACATAAGCCACTGACCGAAGAAGATAAGGAAAAATCTCTCAGGCTTGTTTTAAGATGCACCCACAGCAAAATTTTGTAAGCTTTCTAATCTTGTAAATATGTCCATAAGTGTTATCATTATTGTAAATACCAGGGGCCAGGGATTTAGGTCAGCAGTTCTACTGCCTACCTCACGAGCTCAAGGTTCCAAGTTCAATCCCCAGTACCAAAAAAACCCAACTCTTGGGATACAGTGATAAAGTAACTAACAATTTTGTCTCCTGTTGATTTGACATCTACTTTGAGGAGATGAGTCGTTCTATTGGCCCCAGAGGAAAGCTAAGACAAGTCTCCTAACTTCTAATCTAGTTTAAGTTTCTCGGTCTCCATTTAATAATAATCCAAAGTGCAGAAGTGACTTAAAGTTGAGAAATCTCGCTTACTGGACCTTCGGCTCCCCTCCTATAGCACTACAGAGGAAGCCTGCAATTTGAACAAGGGGTGGAGTGCCTGTGGTTAGCTTCTTCCTCTTTTTAACCCAACACATCTTTCTCTCAACCCTGATTCACCCAGGAATGGAGCAGGCAGAGGACAGGAGAAGGCACAGCAAAGTTCCTAGTTGGCTGTTCTCATAATATTAAGAAGTTGGTGCTCTCTAGACTCCAAATATTTAAAACTGATTCATGTCCTTTCTCCCAGGCACTTTTTTGGGTTCCTCTGAGACTGCTGCCATCACCGTTCATATCTCCCCTTCAGCATATTTGGTGCTTGGTATGCACCATACACTGGCTATGTTTTACTCTATCTTCAATTCTGGGGAAGTTGAAAGCTCGAAGGCCGTTAAGATCTCCTCATCCTTCAAATGGCCTTTATTTATTTATTTATTTATTTATTTATTTATTTTTTTGGTACCGGGGATTGAACTCAGTTCCTTGTGCTTGCAAGGCAGGCCACCAAATCGCTGAGCTTCAAATGGCCTTTCTGAATGGAACCTAAGAGTGCTCGTTTTGGCAGAGCACACACTAAGAAAAATCCAAAAGATTCTTGTGACCTTTCTATTCAGGAAACTCATCCTTTGCCTCCACAGATCAGAAGATGCAGGAAAATCCTACGAGGCATTTTCACTTCACAGTCAAAAAAACTCTAGAGGCACCCAGCCTGTCACCATCCTTTTAAATCAAATTAGAAACAAGTCATATTATAACTTAAAATGCCAGCAGCCTCCTTCCAAAGAGTAAAATGAAACAAGTGAAATTAATATGCTTGAATATATACCAAATATTTTCATATGCAGTACAGTCAAGCTAAAGTAAAAACTGGAAGGCCTTTTGTATAAGTAGAAATTGGGTGTGTATGCATAGCACATCTTAATTTCGAACAGCCACATTTCAAGGGCTGAAAAGTCACATGTGACGGGGATTTGGGCAGTGCACCTCTGTATTTTGCAGGCCTAGGTTAGAGCACAATATCCTCCCAAGCCAAGCCACAGAAGCTGGGGAAATATTTCAGAATACAAAGCCATTTCAAGAAATCTTTTTTTAATCTCAAATATTACACTTTTTAATATCTTTTACATAAGTTAAAGAATCACAAAATGGGTTTTTCTCACTTCCTTCCTTAATGGAATTCTGGCATGATAAGGGTCTGATAGCTCACTTCAGATTTTATCTGTATTGTTTTAGGCCTCAGTCAATATTTCTATTTTTAACACTCTGCTATGTGAATGTTCAATAATATCTCAAGCCTTGATGGCTATTTTTTTTGACAGCAGGTGATGACTTTCAACAACAATAATGTTTTAAGATATCATGCATTGTGTTTTAATATTTCAAAGTAGTAATAAGCTCTGGCTAAAAAATTAATCTTCCCAAATACTTATACAAGATATAAAATATACTTTAAAAAACAACAGCAACTATCCACTACGTATATAATTATAAACACAAAACTCAACACCTATGCACAGGGGAAAAAAAGACTAAGAAAATATAACAAACAATGACTGCATTTATAAAGAGATGCCATAATAACTGAATTTTTCTTTAAGTGAATATTTACCAACTTTATAATAAAATATTAAGGATGGTTGATTCCAACCCATACTTTTAATTCTTTTATCAATACATACCTATTAAGGCTGTGGTAAACCGATTCATGGAAAGAGGTTCCAAATACATTGGTCCTTCATAGGCAGACTCCAGTTCGCTCCTAACATAGTCCCTAAAAAAGAAAAATGCTAAGAATGTACTGTATAGAATAAATAAGCAGTTCAATCACATCAGTCTCATAAAACACGTTAGTAGCTTTTCTTTTTATATCTAAGGGCACTTTTATGAAGAATTCTATTAGGTACAGCCTTCATCTCTGTCTTCCATACCCTGGAAATTCACTATTAACTGAAACTAAATTTTACAACACAGAAAAGGCTACCACAGCTCCACTTCATGGGATTTAATTTCATTCCATAGCCTTATTATTTTATACCCAGAAAAAAGCCAGTTGAGATCTCATTTCTCAACTCTAATTACCTGAAACTAACAATACATTAAACCTTTCCCCCTTTTAGCTCGGTTAACTATCACCTTATTGTCCCCAAAGTTTTCTCACAATTATGTTTTATCTGGTATAAACAAAACTACACTCCAATCAGAAAACTAATTAGAAAAATTCATAGCATTACAATCCTTAAATATTGTTACGTTCAAATCTACAGGTAATCTATGATGAGAATTATAAACTCATATACGCTAAATACTTATCTGAAACAAATATTAAATCACAAAATATTCCTTTTTAAATTTAGCTCATTTAACATGTGACTACTAAAAAAACAAAGCTTTAAGTAGTAACGTAAGAATCTTTTAAACAGAAAATATATACAGGAATCACAAAAACAAAATTTTGTTATAAGTGGTATTACCAGAAAATACTTGTTATTTTTGAATCAAAGAAGGGAAATTTGTTTCTAAAAATCCTCAATTGTTGAATGCTTCATTCACTGCATTTTAAAATAATTTGAATGTTTCAAGCATTTCTGAACTAACTCAATTGTGTATTTAGTTTTTTTGTAAAATTATTTCCTGTTAGGCAATCAAGTTGAATTCCTTTAGCATAGCATAGCAAAAAAAATGACTCTTACATAAGCAGCAAAGAACCACTGATTTTAATTGTAAAACTAAAATTATTTTTTTAAAGAACAGGAACAGTTTAAGGGATAACCAACTAAGCTCCATAGCTAATCTAGCAATTCTATCTCTCTAATAACAGCTTTTAATGCAATGAATATGTATTCATATTCTCTAATTCAAGAAAAAGTCAATTTCTAAGGAATGTTTATCAATGGGGGTCAAGTGTGCTCATAAGAGGATATTTTGCATTGTCTACTACCAGAACTGAGGAGGGAAGGGTGCTAGCGGTACTCAGGAGGTGGTAAAAGCCATGGATGCTGTCCCGTGTTCTACAATACATGGGACAGTTCTCCACACAAAGAATTATCTGGTCTAAAATGTCAATCATGCCATGGCTGAGTAACCTGGTTTTAATGTGAAGAGATACAAACGCCATATTTGCAAATAACACATAAATTCTGATCATTATGGGTAACCCCAAAGTAATTATATTTCTTACAGTTCTAAAATAGAATGCTAATTAAGAGAATTATAAAGTTTAAAATATACATGTAAACAGTGATATTAAAGAAATAAATGTATATTTAAAAGAAACAAAACTGAGTCTCAATACTACCTAAGATTCTAAAGCCCAGTAAGTTCTTTGTGGAAATAAAATATCCTAAGGTTCAGTTAAAATAGGGAGCAGGTAAAACCCAGAACTTAGCAGAATGGAGGTTGCCAGGAGTTAAGGTCAGGAAGAATAGAGGTAACTCCTTAATGGATACTGGGTTTTATTTTGGGGTAATTAAAATATTTTGGAATTAAGAAAAGGTGATGCAGTCATGAAAGTACTATATGCCACTTTAAAGTGGTTAATTTTATACTGTGTGAATTTTACCCCAATTAGAAAGATGCATCGGAACAAGAGCACTAACCCTGAGGGAAATGCCAAAAGGTGCCCCAGGAGCGCCTCAGCCCCAGCAGCTCTCTTACTAAAGACCAAAGGAATGTAGAGTGGGTTCCCATCACATTTGCTCTCCTGTTTGATTTTATCATATTACTGATGCTTTATAAAATAACTCAGCAAACTCAACACTACAAAACTGCTTAGTGGGGGACTTTCATTATTTTGTATTCTTTTTCATAGCTTTAGTTGATCTACTTTTAAAAAATTTGTCTTTTTTTAGTTCCTTACCTTAAATTATAGAACAAGACTTCTAAGGACAATTAACGTGCTCTGTGTTTTTTTTTAATTCAAAGAAATTACTTTGTATAGAGTATGTTGCTAGTACTGCTAGGGCCTGTTAGTATTACAGCAGCTAAGACTTAGATCCTGCTATGGTAAAGCTTAAAAATTAGGAGGGGACCAATACTTAATTTTATAACTAATGACTTGAGAAGTGCTGTGATGATTACAAAGTTATTTAAAAATTATTTTTAAATTCATTGTCCTTGTTAAAAACTTTTCCTTTCAATCTCTTCTATGTTAATTTCATTTCATTTAGCTAGTTCTTTTACTCCATCTTAAAGACCACTTATTTTACTTCCTATTCTATAAGATTATAAAAGATTTTCATGCACCAATTTCCTTTTCTTTTATTAAACTCTTTTCCATTCCTTTATTTTCAAGACTCTTATTTTCCAATCCATTTCGGGGTTGTTTTATTCTTTTTCACTTTCTGTACATTTATTACTTTGTTACTTGCAACAACTATAGTAAACTAACGGAGGTCTACATTCCAGTATAAAGTGATCAACCTTTAAGCCATAACCACAACAAATGGGAAGCAATTTCTTCCCACAAGCTCCTCTGAGAATCTAGGGATTGTTTTCTCCCAATGATGCAAATTTCACCATTCCAATCCAAATGATCCCATACATCAATTAACCTACTCTAGCAATTAAATCTTCCATAGATACTTCCTAGACACTTTCCCTTTTCTTCAAATCCTCTTTCTCAAGACAGTCCTTCAGACTACTCCCTGTCTAACCAACCTAAAAGTCTCACATAAGTAAAGCCAGCCAGGCCCAGAGAGCCAGCAGACAACTCTTTGGGCCAGTTGAGCTGAGTGCGCCAGAGGGCAGTCTTTTACTGGTGAGGGCAAAAGTAACTAGCATGCTATGCAGCCACTATGGAACAAAGATTCTGGAGACTGCATGAGAAGGTTGTAGAGAAGAAGTAAAGTATGACCAATATAATGAGAATCTCTATGCCTAACTAATGTACAACTTTAGGGCATCTCATTCAGCAATGAAAACTTTTGGTTTAGTCCCAACAGGTAGGGTCACTCACAAGATAAAATAAATAAACAAAACAGTAAACTACAAGAAGGACCCAGAAGAGTTATTCAAAATTTTGTGAGTCATTTTAAGTCAACTATTTGTTCAAGGTAAAAGCCAAGAAAATTCTAATTTTAACGTCATTTTATAACATATTTTAAGTGTCAGGTGAGCTGTTCAAAAGGAACATAAATTTTCAATGGTAAAATACATGTACTAAGTTGATCAGAAGTGAGAATTCTTGCCAACCTATTTGTTACTGAATTAAAACCTTTTTCTTTTTTCACCTGTGTGACTGGCAGAATGCTGACAATCAACCCTGAGCACTAATAAACCAGAAACTTTCAAAATGTTCTCTAGTCCTTTGGGATAATGTCTTCCCTTTTAACTGAAATTGTTTGGGGGCATAAGTAATGTGTAGGCTGTATGAAAAAGGACAGCTTGCAGTTAGAAAAGTTCTTACGATAAGAAGGCATAGAAGTTACAAAAATAAACAACAAAACCTATGAGCTTACTAGTCTATTAACTGATGAAAGACTTTTACATAATAGTTTCTTAAGCCACCTGACTCAACCCCTGGACAAGCCAGGAACAATCTGAATATTCTGGCCACTTAAACTTTCAAAAGTTGTTCATTCCAAAGAAATCTAGTCTTCTTTCATACAAAACAAGTTCTCTTTTGCAATATGAGCAAACAAAAAGCACCACTCAGGATAAGAGATCCCAGAAACTAGAACGTTCAAATAGCTGTACTTAAGTATGCACTATACATACACACCTACTGCACCCTCAGCACTATCCTAGCAACTGAACTACTCATCTAGTTAAGGTTACTTAAATTCTTTAGAAACTCGGGTTCTCTTTCCAGGTCCTTTCTGGCCCCCTAGATATTTGATACTTGGATTTGATAATGTTCAAAAGAAGAAAACACGAAACACAGGTCAATTTTATTCCTGTCAAAACACAAAGTTTGGTATACAAATGATAAAATTTACTTTAAAAATTCCTTTATAGCAGTAGTTCTCAACTAAGGTTAGTTTTGCTTCCCAAGACACAACATGGCAATGTCAAACGGCTCTAACCGCCTAGGCACTTATCTAGATACTACAATGGTGACTACAAAACCTGAACCTTAAATACTACATATGCTTTACAAATTTATTTTTCACAATGAACAAAACAAAAACAGAGAGTTAATTCCAGCTTAAGCCTAAGTGAGATTCAGAGGTGCCTGGATAACACCACAGGAACACACTGTGTATGGGGTTTGGGTTAGTATGCTGGATGAGAAGGACATCAAGTTGTCTGGGTCAGAATTAGTCCTCAGACTCCTACTGAGGCTTTATGGAGAGATGCTACAGGAAAAGACTTCAGTTGTTTTAAGGAAGGAGTCAACCTGAGTATATATGTATGTGACATAAAATAATCAAAGTCAATGTCTCCACTTTCAGTGGAACACAGCTTGAGGTGAGTAACATGAGAATGACAAGAAATGCAGCAGTACTCTAGCAGCTCCTGGTGTACAACTTGGACACCAGAGGATACACCCTAGGCAACAATAGCAGCAAGAGTTAAAAAGTAAGAGAAACCACCAAGTACCATTATGAACAAAGCAAATCAAACACGCAAGAACTGAGAAGACAAGTGTAAGAAGATTGATTTTCTGGGAAACAACTCAGGGACTTTGAGAAATTAGAGGAGGACAGAAGTCTTTTATCAAGAGGGGCTGAAAGCCAGTGACTGTTTAGTCATTATAGTTATTCTTTTGTATTCACAAAAGCATGAGAACTGCAAGGTAAGAAAAAATGAGAAGAGAATATCAGAATATTAACAAGTCTCTGGTGATATAATTTCAGGTGACTGTTACTACCTTTAATTTTTTACATTTTCCAAAAATTATCTACATTGAACACTGTGATTTTATAATCAGAAAAAATGTGTAGTTTTTAAAAACTCAGATATTAAATTCTACTAAAAATAAATGCTTTAAGATTAAAGATCAAGCCAACACTAAAATCTGTATTTCAGAATTATTACAGCGTAAGTGCTAATCTTAAAATTGGGATACTTTTATTAGAGTAAGCACATTTCAATCAAAATTATGAAATTTAAATTTCAAAAGATATACTCCTGAAGTTTATTCTACTCTATTACATTTACAATATCACTTTAGTCAACTGTATTTTAACATCCTGTTCCAAAGTAGAAAGCTGATATTCTCTGGCAGGATTGAGTCTTAGATTTTAGGTCTGGCAGACCTAGGTAAACATATCACTCAAGATGGTCAGTTCTGAACTACAAAACTAATCTAAACAAATAATTTATAGTACTCATCCATTCCACACAGTTGTAGCTTATGCTAAGTCTTACACTTCATCCACTGACTTTTTCGGTTTATGTTTTTTGAGATCTAGTAGTCAGGATCAGGCTGGCCTCTGGCTGTAAACTCACTAGGATGTAGTCCAGGTTCTCACTGAAGTCAGAGTCTTCCTGCCCCCACCTCTCGTGTGGTGGGATTATGGGTGTTACACCATCACACCTAGCTAAAAGAGGATTTTCTAAAAATGATGAAAGTAATGAAGTCTGTAAGACTTAAGACACTCTCCTAGCCTGTCTTTACAAATTATTTTCTCGAAAGAAACAAATCACATACAAAGGAAAGCCCATCAGAATCACAGCAGACTTTTCAACACAAACCCTTGGGGCAAGGAGAGCCTGGAATGAGATATTTCAAGTACTAAAAGAGAACAACCTCCAACCTAGACTGATGTATCCAGCAAAACTCTCTTTCAAAATGGATGGAGAAATAAAACACTTCCACGACAAAGAACACCTGAGAAACTATATGAATACCAAACCAGCACTACAAGGAATTCTAAACAAGATCCTAGAAAAAGACAAGGAAGGCAGCAACACCATGAGGCCCAACAGAGCAAATCAAATAGGCAAGGCAAGAAATTAAAAGGAGAAGGTGAAAAAGTAAAAAGAGTCAACAAAAGGCCAATAACATGTCAATCATAAGTCAGTACATATCAGTTATAACCAGCAAGGTCAATGGCCTCAACTCACCAATCAAGAGAAATAGACTGGCAAAATGGAATAAGAAGCAAAATCCAATAATATGTTGTATACAAGAAACACACCTAGTGCAAAAAGAAGCCCATAGACTGAAAGTGAAAAGATAGAAAACAATTCTCCATGTGACAGGAGCCC